TTTGTCTAAAGGCCACTTCTTTTTCTTCTTCTGTCCTCTATAAACTCTTGAGTGTCTGCACGGCCACTATCTTCACACCGTCTTCACACCCTTCTCTTTCTCCAGCCATTTGCTGCGTCAACCGTTCACCACGTCACCTGCTGTGTAATTGTGTCCCTCAGCTGTAACAACACAAAATTCTTCTCCAAGTTGATTAAAATCATCAATCTGTCCTTATCTTGTCTCACCTCTCCTACACGGTGTCATTTCGACACAGGTTGGAGCCTGGATCACTGATATGGACACACAGAGTCTCAGGGTCCATTTTTACGATGCCCAAAATGTTGTGTTGTTTTGTCATCTCTACCAAATTGCTTCTTTCAAGCCCCATAGCTTCTGTTTGCACTCAGCCAGTCCTCATGAGCACACAGGCTGTTACCCTGCAACCTTACATGGCTCCTCTTTCTGAAATGAGTAGATTTAAAAAGTTTTCAAAGTTGGAAAACACAAGCTGGCAGCAATCCTACGGACTCCTCTGCACTCCTCTGGAGATCAAGTTTTTAAAATACCCAAAACAGAATTTGAAGACATTATTTATATTAGATCTGGGCAAACTACAGCCTTAATACCCAAAACAGAATTTGACATTGACATTATTTAGATATGGCCCACTAGGCTTTGTAATCTGTCCCACCAAACACTGGTACAAAATATGGTAAAGACTGATGTCAATCATTCTGTTTCCGCAAGTCAACTTTGGAACCTCATTCAAGAGTTGCCCACCCCTGGTTGATATTGACATGTATAACCTTGACCTAAAGTCATGTTTATAAAACTTAACTCCTGCTCTACCTGCTATGCTTTAATGCATTTTTGCTGTGGTTTTCCATTGAAATGTGTCTTTCTTTAAAACTATAAATTCCTCTGGAATTTGGAAAATTTGGCTTCACTATCTTTTGTAACTTTTTGTGGGTGGAAAAAAATTATTGGATTTGTATCATATATCGCTTTTCAGTAGAAGAAAATATATGTCAAACTAACTGTACAAAACCTGCAGAGCCTGTAATATACTGATCTAAATCACCAACGTCGCGCTCTGGGTTTCCCTACCTGTCTACAAGCTGTAGTAATTTTAATTAAAATATGTATCACATTTATAAGTGTTTCCATTTCATGCTTGAATTGAGATCATATTTCAAGGCTGCTGAATCATGACTGTTGTATGGTCATATTTTAATCTGGTCATTTCTACATCATCGTTCACTTTCTAACACAGTGCTTTGGTAGAAGTGCAGATTAAATTACTAGATTATCCAGAACCAGAGTCCACAATCAGAGCTGCAGTCTGCTGTCCAGCTCTGTGGATGTCAGTCTGAGTTTAGTACAGACCCCTAGATTTTTCACACCTGAGCCAGAGTGAAAATGTGACTGCCAAAATTAAGGGTCTGGCTTCAGGGGTCCAGCAAACTGACAGAATGATGATGGATGCTGAAAAGCCTGCCAGAAAATCAATCTTCCAGGCAGAATGTGATAGACATCAAGTCAACCAGCAGCCATAGATTCACCTACTCTGCACCCTGTACATGCAGCAGGTAAGAGGATCCACGAGAGGTTTTTTTTTTTCTTTTTTTTTTTTGTGAAAAGCTCCAGCCAGGCAGGCCCCATAGGTGAGAACAGAGGAGCAGTTGTCCTCTCCATCAAGATACTTCATTAACCTGAAATGACCTCTAACTCTCTGTTAAATACTTTTCATACTTTAAATATACTTTTTTTATAATGGAAATTAAACTTCTATAGTCCTAATAGGTAGAGGTTATAAAATTTCTAAAAAATAATATTGTTTTTCATTTTCAGAGAAATAAAAAAAGTAACCAAACCACCTTCTACAATCAAGCTGAGTTTCACACCAACACCAAAAACAACAACAAAAGATTACAATTTTGCAGCAATTATCACATGAGGAGTGAGCCTTGGGCCACATGTTATTCTTAACACTGACACAGCGTTACTTTCCAGCTGAGGGAAAAAAACCTTGACTGAATTTAGCAATGGAATGTTTCTCATACTGCATGAATTACTACTGTGTGCTACAGCTGCAGTCAGAGAACAGATGCAGTTGAAAGCCATAGGACTTGTATTTATACACAAGAAGAGAAGTGCATGACCTCAGTGACCTGATCAGAGGAGTCACTGATCAATAATGTAAAGCATCCACACCATCACATGCAGCAGACAGCAGGAGGCAGCGGGTTGTGATTGAGGACCTTGATGAAGACAGGGATCAGAGTCTGCATATACACCTATTATTAAAAAGGTCGGAGATGACGATCTGTGTGTGTGCTCTGTGTTTCAATAACTCGTTTAACTCGTAGTTTGCTGAATTTTCTACTGCTGACAAAAACAGCCGGGGCTTATGAAGCCACAGTGTCACTGAAAAGGTATTGTCATTGATTTGCACGTGTCCTTGACACATTCACAGTCACCCTCGTTGTTGAGTGAGACTGTGAGCAGAGCAGACGTCAGGCTATTCATAGCAGCACATGTATACATACGTAGGTATCCGTGCAGCATCCAGCAGTCGGCTGACATTACTGCTTTACAGAACTATGGTTCTGTGGCTGACAGCTCATTTGATGAGTGACAAATGAGTTGGGATACACACTGAAGAGAATGTGAAGATATCATTAGAGCCTAAGTAGTGACAACAGGACTAAAGTGAAGAGTTGGTGTAGAATGTGTCTCCTCCCTCACCCTCCCCACCTCTTTTTGTAGACTTTATATAAGAACTAGAGAGAAGAAAGAAAAACCCAAAATGCTTCACTGGCTTTGGATGAAGCACAGTTTTTGTGCAAGCCTGTGGAAAATTGGACCACTTTTGAGTTGATTTAGAACAATAGTAAGTAATTCACGATGATTCTGTTATAACAGTCAGTACTGAATAGTCTTATCCAAGAGAACATGACAGTTTAGATAAAAACAAAACTTATCCTGTATTTTTACCATCTAAATACTGCACAAGCACTCCAGTGCCATGTTCCATAGGGTAGCGGTTTTCACACCCACCTTATACGCAGAAGGTACTGGGTTTGAGCCCCAGAGGAACCACATACTTAATGGTGTGGGCTGAACACACTCCCCCTCTGAATTCCCCAATAGTGGCATGAAGAATGGATGTCAATCCAATTTTCAATTTGTTCGCCTTGTCACCAATCGTAGGTTGACCTTTCGGGCTATTTCTGTAGCTTCATCATTCTAGGGCCATATCAATAATGGCGCCTCTGTGGAGACATGGCAGCTACTACTGTTTTCATTTGTATCAAAAATGCATTGCTTGTTCCGATAACACTTCTGGGACCAAAGCACAACAACTTAATTTGAGCAATAGTGCAACCTTTCTGCGTCATTAGGCAAAAATGCATCAGCGTGGAGACCAAATACAAAGTTATTTGTCCAAATATGGTAGCTGTGTATATCAGGTCAGTAGTGGATTATGTGTGAACCAATTCTTACCATGAACAATAAAATGCACAGACTAGGCCAGTGCAGTGAAGTATAAATCTTCCCTGCAGAGGGTCTGACAACCTGGGATTTGTTGGTCTGCCATGAGTCATGACACCAGGAACAAAAACAAAGACACACTGACAGCTGAAGTCTGCCAGATCTGCTGAAAAGATGCAACAATGCTTCAACATTTACCCACAAACATACCCAAGCTGCAGGAATGTAACAAGACATTTATGGAATTTAATTAGAAAAATATATATTTATTATTATATAAAAAAAATATATTGAAATCCAAGATCGGTTGTTTTTCAGTGATCAAAACTGAACCTGATTAAACTAAATCGCTGAAGTCCATTTATAAGCATCCAATTTCTACAGCACAGGAGCAGAGATCAGAGAGAGCATCAAGGGCTGAGAGCCACAGACGCTCAGTGAGACTCATATGATGTAAAGTCCTCATCATCACTCACACCTTCACCTCCTCCTCCCCTTCCTCTCCATCTCAGTATTGATCGACTCGTGCTCTTCTCTCTCCCACTGTGGGACAATCACCATACTCTTATTATACCAAACTCTCATTATTCAACAGTCCAGACTAAACCTGAGTGAGGCGCTACTGCTGCTGCAGACTGACTTAAAAGTGCTGCGTGAGGGCCAGACGAGCCTGGGCCGCTCAATAATTCCTCAAATGAGCCTAAAGATATTTCCCCCCTAATGTTATAACGATCAGCTATTAACAGTTATGGAGCCAGAAAATAAATAGAAACTTTCCCAATAACATTAGTACGTGTATTAAAGTCTCATTGAAGACAAATAAACAAATCATAAAATTAGAGTCGTAGCTTTATGAGAAAGATTGTAAAGTGATGAAAATAAGGTAATATTATTACAGAAATGATTAGTTTACTTGCTGGTCTTAACCATACAGTACTGTACATGCATCAACATCAGAAACCTTGTTAGGTTATATTTTAGGAGTGAACTACTTGACAATCTGGCTGAATTACTTTATCCTGACTCTTGAATAATATTAGCTTTTACTCAAACAAACCAGAACAGACTCTGGTGGTGTACTGGCAGTGTAAAGCAATAACTTTAAAAACGAATTTGCATAATTTCACATTTAAGCAGTGCAACACCAGACGGTGACAGATGAACATGTGTGAAAGTGAACACAGGACTAAAAACAGAACACTACACAGCTGGCAATTAGATAGTAAATTAATGACTTTTTCATTTCAGTTATGAAATAATGAGAAGAAGGAAATACAAATATAGTAGACTATAAATATGTGAACTGACATATTAACCAAATATTTTATAATTACTGTGTAATACCCTATTACACCCTCCAGGGGTTGTTGACCACATATCTATCCCTGCATATTCTACCTTTACTTATTGCTAAAACATATTTATATCTAGATGTATTTTCCAGTAAACCAGCGAATATACTGATGCCCGCAGCATTGTTTTGTTTCTTTTTCTTCAGGAGTGTGCAGGGGGCTGTGTCCTACCTTGGGCTATAGCTATGGACTCGAACCTGTGCAGCTCCCGCAGCAGACAGGTGCGCTCTGACGGATGGAGGCTGTAGATAAAGTCCTTGGCTCCCCTGGGCGAGTTAAGTGGCTCCACGTGCTCTTTGAGCGGATGAGTTCCCAGGTTACGTCGCTGCTGGTGATGATGCTGAAGATGATGGGACAGTGGTAAAGCCATGGCGGATACTGGCTGACTGTTGACTCCGACTCTGGTCATTCCGGCGCCGGCTCTCAGAGCCAGGGCGGGCCGCAGGACTCTCCGCAAGCAGGGCAGCATCTCAGCACGCGGTAGGTTGAGGAGTAGGAGACGCCCGTGAAGCCTCTGTGTCACAAAAAAGACATGAGGTTAAAGTCAGCGCTGCTATGGTGGCATGAGAATAGCCTCCTTCTTGAGGCTGGGTCAGGCTGTTTAAAGGGCAACGCCGCTGGACGTTGACACAGTTACACATATTTCACAAACATACTTCTCCAAACTACTACTGTAGCGTTACATTCGGCCGTAAACTGTGGTGACGTTTTCCTAAAAAAAATAAACTATAACTAGTCTTGTCGGGACGCACCTCCGCCGATGCTCCTCTGTCCCGTAATAACCCACCGCAGCCTAACATCCAATGGGGGAAACATGCAAACACACACTCGCTGCTCCGTCGCTTCACACTCACCTGCTGTGAGATTTCTGTAGATTCAAGCCTCAAAACAGCAAAATCACACTTGTCATGTTGTTAGTCGTCATTTCTCCTCAGTAGTAAATCCAGCGCAGTAACCTCTGACAGCACGGCGTCCGTGAGAGGAGCAGAAGGAGCGAGAAAAGGAAGAAATCCGGGCGGAGTCAAGAGCGGCCATTAAAATATTCCACAAATGACAGCGCAGCTCTGCTCCGTGCGTACGGGTGACGTCACCAACGGACGCACGCAGGTCTTTTTTTCAGACCTTATGGTCAGTTACTTCTGTGTTGTTATTCTCTACAGAAATCTCGCTATGGATTCGAATAAAAAACTTAAATTGATAGTTCATGTTTTAATTGGATATAATCAAGAACATTAACGTCATCCAGACATTTAAGATAAGACTTTATTCATCCCACACCGGGAAAGAGCAGGAATTAACGGTTGTTCAGAACGAGGAAAAGGAGAAAGCCATGGCGTGAGATGGGCTCCACAATAAGATGTTTAAATATTTCGGTTCATGGTTATTTCTTATGATGATAACGTATGCATATATGTATACCTATGTGTGTGTGTATTATATCACCAGATACGTAATTGCCAGTGTTGCGCAGAAGTTTTTGAATGTTTGAATCAGCACGATTGAGACTGGACAAAATTACAGGTTTACACACAGTAGTGGATTGAATGTGAGTGCTGCTCGAGCCTCTCATCGGATGAGTGTTCGATAACAGAGGGGTGTGTTTGTGTACAGGGTGTGAACTTTATCCCTTCCTCTGCTCCGGAGCTATTCAGTCAGACTAGTCCACACCCCAAGAAAATATGATACCATGTGGATGTAGGTGGTTTGGAAATCGTACAACGGA